CAGCGCCCCCCGGCCCTGAGCCCCTCTGCCCGCCGCTGCCTGCCCGGGCTGCCGTGTGGGAACTGCGGGGCATCTCCCCCGGGCTGGAGCCCGTCTCAGAGGGCGCAGGGACCCGAGAGCCCCCGATTCTGCCAGGCACGTCGGCACCCTTCAGCAGTCGGGCTGCAGCAGCAGAGCAGGGCAGGGCACCTGCAGCTGGGCTCGGGCTCCCCTCGCTGCCCTGCGCTGCGCCCGTCTCTGCCGGTGCCTTGGTGCCGCACGGGGCTCTTGGCCCAGGCCCAGGCTCCCTGCTTAACACTGCTGCTCGCAGCCCTCCTGCCCGTCACATGCTGTTTTCCATTTGCCTTCTCACTGCCTGCACTATGGAGCACACCGGGGTGCCCGTGCCCCTGGTGCCAGTCCCTGCTCCGGGGGTTTACAGGTGGATCCAGGACCGGCTGCTGGCACTGAGCACCCCGCTGCCTTTTCAGTGCCCACCAGCTTGCAGCTTTCCCTTTGGAAGGGCAGTGAGGGCAGGGGTGCCCTCTTCTGTGCCGGCCTCCGCACGCACGCCTGTGCCAGTGCTGGAGCTGGCTCCGAGGTTTGCTCCGATAGCCTTCGGTGTGCTCTGGGACACGTGCCTGCAGCGAGCCTGGAGCTGGGCGTCAGTTGGGAGCAGGGTACGGCACGACCTTGCTGCGCTCTGTCTGCTTGTCCTTGGCTGAAGCAGTGTCCATGGGCACCTGCGTGTGGTTTCTGTGATGCTACCAGGGGCTCTCTGCTGGGAGCACCTGGACCTGTGGTTTTCCAGGTCTCTGAGCAGCGTCCCCATCTCCTCTCTGCTGCTGCGCTCCTCCGTCCCCTTTGCTGCTCTGCAGCCCGGCAGCGGGATGCTAACAGCGGGACGCTGAGGGCAGCAGTGAAGGTGTTGGCTCCGCAACGCCGTCTCCTGCTCGTTGCTTTTGATGGGCCTGATCTTGTCCATGGAGATGCACAGGGAGAGCCATGCCATGGGGCTCCCTTTTCTCCTTGAAGCCCCTGGGAAGCAGCTTTGGCGAAGTCCAAAGTCTTTGACAGGCTCCTGACCCTGGGGTGGCTGCTTGTGGCTGGAAGGTCCAAGTCCTTGTTTACACAGGAAAACGTGTCTTGCAAGTTTGTTGTCTTGTTCCTAAAACCTTGGTGCAGCTGCAGGCGGCTGCCCAGGCTGGGTCCTGGGGGGGGCTGCAGCCCAGTAGTGCAAGAAGAGATCCTGAGATAGCGGTGGGTGATTTCTGGAGGGGCTGACTGTGGCCTCTTAGCGAGGAAGGTGACGTCTTGGGCCTCAGCCTGCCTTTGTGGGTTGCACAATTGCTTCAGCTGGCTGCCGAGAGCCGCCGGCTCAGCGCTCCCTCCCTCGCGCGGCTCCGTCCGAACACTCCTGAGCTCCGTTTGAGTCCCGTGTCCCTTCGGGTGGCAGGGGAAGCGCCAGCCTGCTGCTGGCAGGGGAGGGCTCTCCTTGGCGAACCCAGGGCTTTCTCTGGATGAGTCAGCTGTGCCCGGTGCTTCCCGCCTGGCTAGCTCCGTGTGCCTCCCTGTGGGTCTCAGCCCCTCATTGCAGACGTGCCCCAGCTCCCCTGCACTGGCAGCTGGCACACGTAGCGGGGCTGGCAGCACAGCTCGCACCCTGCCCTCCTGCTCATCCCCATGGCCGGGCTGCGCTGCCCTGCGGGGCCCCTGTCCCTACTCCAGCTGTGTCAGGGCAGCTCCTGAGTGGCTGCTGGGGCTGGGGGGGG